TTGGCTTTCCCACTTTCTTATTGAGTGATAGAGAACAAGGGGACTCTCACGCGCCGCCGCCGCCGCCGTCTCGTCTCGTGGTCGTGGTCATACGTGTCTTCGACACGTCCGCGCGGATACTATCTTTTTAGAGAAAATTCTTAAGAAACAAAATCTTTTTTTTTTAACTATCACAACTAATTTTCGCAACGAATTTGGAAAATCGTAACGACAACTGTAGACTATCGCAACAACAAATGTAGACTATCGCAACGAATTTGGAAAATCGCAACGAATTTAGAAAATCGCAACGACAACTGTAGACTATCGCAACGCGAAATGGAAAATCGCAACGCGATTTTCAACTATCGCAACGCGAATTTGCGATAGTGGAGATCGCAATGCAAATTAGAGATCGCATTACGATTTTGTTGGTCATTTTCGTAAATCCAAAAAAAAATTAGTCAAAATCGTATATTATCTGAGATTTTTGGTCACTGAAGTTATTTTCTCTTTTTTTTATTGTCACATCGGTACATGTAGATGAAATACGTATTTAACCCTTCGTCTTATATTTAACACGATCTATCATATAGATTTGATTTTATCTAAAACATAATTTCTCAAGAATTGGATTCAAGTTTCATATATCGTTTGACTTTTATAAACATAATAAAATCCTATCAGAATAATTATAATTTAATTTCCTAAAACGTAATTAAAATATTATATTTTGAACAAAAGTGAGCGTCATTCCAGGCAGACTTTCATCTTTTAAAAATTTAAAATTATTATATATTTTAATTTTTATATTTTTTTAATGAAAATTTATTTTTGTCCTTTAGAATTTTGAAAATTTAAGTTTATCATCTGAAATTTTATAAGTTTAAATTCGTCATTTCTAACATAAAATTCTATGTTCATATTTGGATATGTTGTTTTATCAAATTTTAAAATATGAATATAATGATGATTTTAAATGAGTTGGGATTTAAATTTATGCATGGCAATGAACACTTAATCACTCTTGTAGTCGTTAGTGTTTGAATTTTACCTCTAAGAATAACAATGATTTATTGTATAAGAATTGTGTTTCCTATGAAGATACATGTTCATTTAATAATTAATTACAACCCTAGGTGATGAATAAGTAAGGTTTAGTTCGGCTAGCCTTTTATAAGCCTTATGACTTTTTTGGTCGAATGATTAACATGGTTCGGCCTCTTGGAATGCTTGAATAAGTGTGTTCTTTGCTTGACCGAATAGGCTTGTTGCTCTTCATCCTTGGTACTAAAATGTTTGGTTTAGAAGGCTTGGACAAATGGTTACAACTCCTTTGAGAAATGGCGCCTAGTTTGAATTCAAAGAAAGGAACATGCATTTTTAATGAATGCACATGTCTCTTTGCTTGATGTGCTCTTCCATGCCTTGCTTATGGTGTTCCCTCGGCCATATGCTTATCACATGGTATGTGTATGCTAGATAATGACATAGGTAGCTAGCTAGGTACATAGTGTCACTTCAGCTGCCTCCACTTACCTTAAGTCCTCAGCTCAGCAATTGTAGTCCTCAACAACTCTCCAGCTAATGTCAGCTACTCTCCAACTAATATCAGCTACTCTCCCAGCTAATGTTAGCTATCCTTAAGCTAGGATCCTTATGTTTGTGCTCCATTTAGCTGCTTGTCATCACTTTGAGCTATCCATGAGCTGTCATGCTTGTTGTTTAGCTTTGCCAAGCTGCCATAAGGTGCCTTACCAATGTATATACCTATGGAAACAAAGAAAACAAACAAATGAGACATGTGTGAGCTAGAGTCAATCCAAATGCTTGTTGTCGCCTATGTTAACCATGCAAATGAGCTAAAGATGAATGCATGAGCTATCATAAACATAGCATAAGCTAAAGAATGATGCAAACTCATAATAATAACATAGATTAAGCTAGGAATGAAGGTTATTAATAACACATGGATAGTATAAAACTAAGTATAGGAATGTGGGGCTACTATCATGCTTTATATTCAATAGTCATGCATTGTATGAAGATGTTCCTACATAGTTAATGAACATAGAATGCATAACATATGTTAATAAGGCATAACAATAAATGATGATATGGACATAATATATCAAATTAATGCCAAGTATAAAATGTAAAGAGGAAAAGAACGAAAAGATTGAGAGAACTCCCTTAGTCTTCAACCATGAATAAGATGTTGTTAAGAAGAGGAGTAGGTGCAAGAATGGGATTGTATAAATAAATATTTACAATTAAATTTAAACATAAATTTCAACCATTCGATTTGAAATTCATAAATTGAACTCAATTTTTAAAAATAAAACTATTATTATAAAATATGACTCATCAACTCGATTAACTTAAAAATTCTTAATTCGATTTGATTTGGTTAAATATTCATCCTTATTTACAATTTCATCCTTGACACCAGCACATGATTTGGCATCCTTCTAGATGTGAGTTATAAAGTGATTCCCTTCCTTGTGTAGCAGCTCTTTGCATTATAAAGTGATTCCCTTCGTCTTATATTTTACACGATCTATCATATAGATTTGCTTTTATCTAAAACATAATTTCTCAAGAATTGGATTCAAGTTTCATATATCTTTTGACTTTTATAAACATAATAAAAATCCTATGTGTATAATTATAATTTAATTTCCTAAAACGTAATTAAAATATTATATTTTGAACAAAAGTTATATACTGGTGAGATGTTAAAAGGATTGTTGACTAGTTAAATAGAATTAGGTTCTATAATCCATCATTCATCTCATTACCTAACGAATAAAGAATCCAAAATAACTTTATCAAAACAACGCCGAAGTATCTTTGTTTATATATATATATAAAGTAAAGTTTATCAGTTTCATTAGAAAAATAATTTTAACGTACCAGGAGAACTTGAGAATACCTAAAATGTCAGAGTGGGTAAAAGCTTACGGTAACATTTTTATCAAATTTATGAAATTGATAAAATTTATCGAAATAGTGAGCGTCATTCCGGACTTTCATCTTTTAAAAATTTAAAATTATTATATATTTTAATTTTTATACATTTTAATGAAAATTTATTTTTGTCCTTTAGAATTTTGAAAATTTAAGTTTATCATCTGAAATTTTATAAGTTTAAATTCGTCATTTCTAACATAAAATTCTATGTTCATCTCTGGATCTATTGGTTTATCAAATTTTAAAATATGATTATAATGATCATTTTAAATTAGTTGGTATTTAAATTTATACATGGCAATGAACGCTTAATCACTCTTGTAGTCGTTAGTGCTTGAATTTGTTACCTCTAAGAATAACAATGATTCTTTTAACTACTGAGGTAAATTGATTTGTGCAATCTTAAGTAATGATTTTTATTTTATTTTATTTGAATATTGTATAAATATGAAATACAATTAACACTCTTAAAATGTGTTTTTTATAATCTTAAGCAATGTCATGATTTAAACTAGATAAGAACATTGTCATTGTTACCTCTCTGTCTTCTTCAACATTGGCTCTAATCATGGCTATCTACATTTCCTTGAAGTAGTCAACAGTTCTGCTCCCTTGTTTAAGATTATGGAGTTTGTGGAATAGGTCTATGTTGGAATTGATGAAGCTTAATTGAACAACCGAATAATTGTCAAGAGGGGATGAAATGGCTAATTGAAAAATTTTGGGTATGGAGGAGAAAGGATAGGAGAATTTGCACAATGATTTATAGTGATTCGACTTTTAAACCAAATCTACATCCACTACCTTAGCTCCACACTAAGAATTTTCTAACAAATTCACTAATTTGTTCTTTCTTTTTCCAGGACAAAGTGATAACCTTTACAAAACCCTTAGTTTTTCAATGGCTAAACTAAAACCACTTCCTTTTACATAGGTTGAAAGATGTAAACAATAAAAACTCAGCAATATAGGTGTTTACAAGAATTAAGCTCACAAGAAAACAATAGAAAGATTTACAATGAGCTCAAAAATACTTATGTACAGGAGAAAAAGAAAAATAAGAGTGAAAGAACTTTCTCTTGATCTCAATTGCTTGGATAGGTGTTGTAACCTTCTTCAAGTGTCCTCAACTTGTTTTTATATGTTGGAATGAGTTTTTGACTGTTTCTAGCCGTTGGGGATGTTTTGGAACCGTTTGGGATTAATTTTCTGCAAAATAAAAATGCCCAGTATTGATACTCCTTTTATGAGTCTCGGTACTACCTTTATAATTTTTTTATATAAACTAGTTGTTGAAGACTGTTGGGCTTGACCAATATCGATACTATGCTTCATGGTATCGATACCACTGTGTAAATTAATATCAGCACCCCTTGAGTATCGGTACCTATTTTTCATTCTGGAATTTGAGCAATTAGGAAAACAACCGGCAGTGTCGATACTACCTATAGAGTATCGATACTTCTCTTATCTTTGGAATCGATACCATATGAACAATATCAGTATTATTCATGTAGAATCGATACAGTAAGAACAGTATCGGTACTACATACCCAGAAAAATGTTTTGTGCTCAAATTCTAGTTTAATGGACTTTGAATTATTTTCAAAAAACTTTGAACAAATTCAATCAAGTCTAAAAACATTTTTCCTTAATTTGTTATATCAAAATATTATAAAACATGGTTTAACAATCTCTCCCTTTTTTATATAACAAAACATTTGAAAAATTGTTTTAGCAAAACTCCCCCTTAATAAAATATTTCATGAAAAAGAGAAATATTTGGAAAATATTAAAGCTCCCCCTTTTTCATTGAGAAATTGAATTTTTCAAACCTATACTTCTTCCCCTTTTTGTTATATAAAATATAATTCAAATTTAAAGTTCAAGAATAACAATGGAGAGTAAGTAAAAAGTTTAGCATAAAATCATTCGAAAAATCAAAACTCCCCTTCAATAAAAGTATTCCAAGAAAACTTTTGACAAAAAAGTTTAACACATAAAAGAATATTGAATTTCAATTAAAAGAAAACACATTAGTAGTACATAAAATTCAATAAATCAAAGTCTAATATACTTTATGCAATACCATTTTTTTTGTATTTAAGTGCATGTGCGTAAAGCTATCAAAAACTGTTATGCATTTGAAAAATTGATATCAATTGTTAGAGAGATATCATTTGCAACAAATCACATGCATAAACATTTAAATTAAGGTCAAAAATTAAATTTTGTAAAAACAAAGCATTAAAACCAATTTTGACCAAAATTCATTATGATAAACAAACATTTATGAAAAAACATTAAAACTTTAGAAAATGTTCATCACAACACTTTTTAACATACATGAGATAGAAACATAAAATTATTTAAAATCAAAACTCGTGCATGATTAAACTAAACTCGTCCATTCCATATCAAGTGTGGCTAGAGCATTTGAATATCTTCACTTTCATCACCATTGCTCCTACACACCTACAAGAGACATTTATGTGGATTTTGGTATCCAAATTGCTTTGGATCCTTGAACGTTAGTTTCAATGCCCCTTGTTCCCTTAGGAAACCATACTTGTTTAATTTTAAAATGTTTTCCTTTCTTTAAAGGACAAGTATGTTCTTTGTGACCATGATAATGACAATGTAAGCATTTTGTCATTATGAAATTAGATGAATTATTTAAAATGATTTCCTTTTCTTTTGTTAAACACTCAAGCTTAACCTTTAAATCAAAACTTTCTTTTTCAAATTTTCAATTTTCATTTTTGAAAGCTCTAAATTCTTTTTCAAAATTTCATTTTGTTTTTCAAAATCAACTTTTTCTTTCAAAAGAAAATCATTTTTAGCTTTAAGTTTTAAAATCATTTCCTTGTATTTAGAATTCATGGTCTCAAACTCCAAAAATAATTCAACATATGCATCTTGTAACTCATTAAAAGAACATGAATAAGATTTATTAGAGTTAGAAGATACCTTGGGCTCTTCAAGAGCCATTAAGCACACCACCTTTGTTGGTTCTTCTTTCTTGTTTCCATGGAACTTTTCGAGCCTACTCCAAAGATCCTTGGCATTTGAACGAGAAGAAAATCCTTCATAGACATCGAAACCAAATGAACAAAACAATATGTGCATGACGTTAGCATTTTGTTAAGTTTTCTTCTGTTCTTGGGTACTCCACTCATTCGTCTTCTTCTTTGGAGAAGAGTAGCCATTCTTGATTATCTCCCACGCATCAAGATCATTGTATTGGATGAATAGATTCATTAATTTCTTCCAATAATGGTAGTTGGATCCATTGAAGTATGGACACTTGTCGATCGGTTAGGAGTCTTCCATGTGGAACGAGTAGTAGGTAGAAGTCTTCTTCTCGGTTGTGTCGAAAATAGATAGAGCTTCTTCAATGATCATCTTAAGGTTGTTAGACCTTATAATGAGCCAAGCTCTAATACCAATTATTGGGATTGATTAAGCTCAATTGAACAAATGAATAATTGCCAATAGGGGTGAAATGGCCTATTGAAAAATTTTGGGTATGGAGGAGAAATGATAGGAGCATTTGCACAATGATTTATAGTGGCTAGACTTCTAAACCAAGTCTACATCCACTACCTTAGCTCTACACTAAGGATTTTATAACAAATTCATTAATTTGTTCTTTCTTTTTCTATGACAAAGAGATAACATTTACAAAACCCTTAGTTTTTCAATGGCTAAACTAAAATAACTCCCTTTTACAAAGGTTAAAAGATGTAAACAATAAAACCTCACAAAAGTAGGTTTTTACAAGAATTAAGCTCACAAGAAAATAATAGAAAGATTTACAATGAGCTCAAAAATACTTATGTACAAGAGAAAAGGAAAAAAAAAGTAAAATAACTTTTCTCTTTATCTCAATTGCTTAGATGTGTGTTGTAACCTTCTTCAAGTGTTATCAACTTATTTTTATATGTTCAAATGAGTTGGGAGTCTTCCATGTGGAACGAGCTGGAGGTAGAAGTCATCTTCTCGGTTGTGTCGAAAATGGATAGAGCTTCTTCAAGGATCGTCTCAGGATTGTTAAACCTTCTAATGAGTCAAGCTCTGATACCAATTGTTAGGATTCAAATGAAGCTCAATTGAACAACTGAGTCTACATCTACTACCTTAGCTCCTCACTTAGGATTTTCTAACAAATCCACTAATTTTTCTTTCTTTTTCCAGGAAAAAGAGATAACATTTACAACTCCCTAGCTTTTCAAAGGCTAAGCTATAACCAATCCCCTTTACAAAGGTTAAAAGATCTAAACAAAAAACACCTCTCAAAAGGAAGGTGTTTACAAAAATTAAACTCACAAGAAAACTATTAAAAGATTTTCAATGAGCTCAAACACATATGTACAATAGAAAATGAAAGATAAAGAGTGAAATAGTTTTTCTCTTGATCTTTATTGCTTAGATAGGTGTTGTAACCTTCTTCAAGTGTCCTCAACTTATTTTTATATGTTGGAATGAGTTTGTGTTCGTTTCTATCCGTTGGAGATGTTTTGGAGCCATTGGGGATCAATTTTCTACAAAATAAAACTACCTAGAATAGGGAGTATCAGTACTCCTTTCATGAGTATCGGTACTATCTTTATAATTTTTTAAATAAACTAGCCGTTGAAGACCGTTGGGATTGACCAGTATCGATACTATGCGTCATGGTATCGATACCATTGTGTAAAGTAGTATCGATACCCCTTGAGTATGAGTACCTATTTTTCATTCTGGAATTTGAGCAATTTGGAAAACAATTGGTAGTATCAATACTACCTATAGAGTATCAATACTTCTCTTACCTTTGGTATCGGTACCACATGAACAATATCGATATTGTTCATGTAGTATCGATACTATAAGAACAATATCGGTACTATATACCTAAAAAACTATTTTGTGCTAAAATTCTAGTTTAATGGACTTTGAATTATTTTTTGAAAAACTTTGAACAAATTCAATCAAGTCTAAAAACATTTTTCCTTAATTTGTTATATCAAAATATTATAAAACATGGTTCAACAATCTCTATGATAATGGACTAGTATACACCTTCTCATGATGGTCTCTCTATATATTGATGGGGCTCACCATTTCTTCTTCTAGTACTCACCAATTGATCCCACCAAACAAGAGCATAATCAATTAACTCTATGACTTCCATTCGAACCTTCTTTTGTTCTGAATAATTATGACATTCAAATACATGTTCCACTTTGGTTTCCCAATCAAGATAAGCTTCTGGATCCATATTTCCTTGGATTGCAGAGATGTTTGCTCTAATTTTGTTTAGGTTGTCATCAAAGGAATAATGAGCTCCTTGTTCTCTCGGATGATTCCTCCTTGATCCTAATGAAACTTGGTTAACTTCAGCGTTGTCCACATTTTCAATTTATTCATCTTGTCTTTGTTAAGGTTGCCTCCTTATAACACCAAAAGATGCCTCCATTTGATCTATCCATTCATGAATAGGTTTGATCTCCAATATGATTAATTTTTCCATCCAACATGATTGCTTGTGCTTATAAGTTTGGTACTTCTCCACTAGGTAACTAACTTAATTCTCGAGACATGGTTAGTGAAATAATAAAGAATTGTGTATAAGGACCTTACTGAAAGTACTCTCACAAAAAGCCTCACAAGAACACTCCAAAGAAATTGAAATACCACTCAATTCACTAGTGTTTGCACTCTAGGACTAAATGGCTTTTACACATCATCTTCTGATCTCACACACTCAAGCATTTCTCAACTTGATCTCTTCCCTCCAAGGTTCTTTGTAGACTTACTCAAAACTTCTCAAGTAGTATTTACTTGTTGTATGTCAGCTACAAAAGGGTTTGTAGGAATGAAAAACAAATATAATGTATAGGGTGACTTAGAAATAGAAAAAAGAAAGAAAATTGTAACACCCCGACCCGGATCCGAGTTCGAGGTGTCACATTGACTTTTCAAAAATGGTTTTCATTACAAATTGGCTAAAATTTAAATTCACATTTCAAGAAATTGAATATTTTGCATTAATTAAAATCAATTGGTTTATAAAACATATCAGAGCATAAACAACTTAAATCTCTTAGTACATGCCAACTATATTTAATATAACAAAATACACATGATTCATAAATCTTTTCTGATCTAAACTTCGAAAATGAGAGTCTGACTTGTCTTGCTTCTCTTTGCTCCTTAATCTTCTCGAAACCTACGTGTGAAACATTCACACGCTAAGTAGACGACTTAGTGAGGCATAATAAACACATATAATGCTATTTATATATCCTAACAATGCATGTATATTTTATACTGTCATATCATACAACTCATATACTTTTTTATTTAACAAATATATACATATATCATTTATGTTTTTATCATGCTCATATATTATTATTATCATTCATATCTCTTAGTCATATGTTCTTGTACCTAACATTTTTAACCATACAACACACACATCATCATATCATTCTTGTAACACCATTCATATCACAAAAGCATATACATCACATATATTGTATTTGTGGTCATATGTTTATTAGTCGTAGCCCATGTACACATGTGAGAACTAAAGATATGTGAGTACATAGAGGTTGTGTACATATGCTGTCACTATAGCTCGTATAATTCCCAGTTAGTGGCATATGAAATTTGTCCTGAATGACCACATAGATGTCCCGAAGGACTACATATCACATATATGTCCCGAATGACCACTCCTTAAGGACCACATACATATTCCAATGGACCAAATAGGTGTACCGAAGTACAGCATATATGTTCCAAAGGATTACATATATTTCCCGAAGGACCAAGTAGAACCCTCGACTCTTGGCATAACAACTATATCTCTTGCTCTCATGACACATAACATGGGCATTATCATTTATATTATTTCACATATTCATAGGCACGTGATTCGATTCACTTACGTGTAAAACATTTTCATATGATTCACATTCACATATACTTTTCCTCATATATCTCATATAATGTCTCAAGTCTTGTGATCATGTAAACACATCACTTATTTTCATATAGCTCATATAATTCATATCATATGGCTTATATCTTATTCTTATATCATCACATATATCATCTATACTCATTCACATATATACTAACATATACTAACATATATCATGTAACATATACAATAACCAATAACATATACACTCATATCAAACACATACTTATATTTATGAATTCATGCATTCTAATATAGGAAATAGACTCGTCACAAGTCTTATTTCCATCAACTATCATATATCAACTAGTATGCACTCACCTGGCCTCACTAGTCAATACCGATCTCTTATCTCTTCTCGATGACTATTACTTGCAAAGATTCTTATTGTTGCAAGCTAATCAAAGCACTAATTTCTAAATTCTAGCTCAAGTAATATCGGTACTACAAGCACAGTACCGATACCTCTATGCTTGTAATATCGATACCCTTCCACGGT